CAGAAAACAACCTTATAAACTTTGTTCTCTCCATCTTTATTTGATTATATGTTATTGTTATATAAGGATATCTTTCTGAGTTTGCTCTTTAAGATCAATCCTGTCCAGTTCATTGAAACTAACCTATAGTTTACTTAGGCTCATGAAAGTAGTATTATGACCAACAAAGATCAGTTGCCCATGCAGCTGCTGCTGAAGTAGTAATCTGATGGCTAATTGAAGTTGCTTTCTTTGTAGTAACTGGCATTAGATGAATTCTAATTAGATATCTTAATATGGCCAAAGATTAGACAAATAAATGAGCCAATATTCATACACTTTATTTTAGGTGTACAAATTTCATAACAGAATAAAAATTTATGGATTTATGTATATTCTTTATTAAAGGTTCACATAATATGTCTAGGCCAGTCTTCCTGTGTCTTTCAGAGCTGGATATCTGAGAATTTTCAGTGCATCTTGAGAGTATCAGATTAGGAAAGCTGATCTAGAATGACATATCATTTTTAGTAACATTGTAACAATTCGATATCCATGGATAAAATTAAACCAGTGATCTTGAAGTTAAAACTTCTGCAATTGTCTGTGTTCCCGAGGTCATAATTCTGCTCACTAACCACATGCCTGTGATTCCTGAGGTGGTCCTTCTGCTCGCTAGTTACCATACTACTTTTTTGTCCACGGTATTTCTAACATTTGATTGGAGTCTGCTTTCCTGTAGCTTAACTCTGTGAAGGAGAACAAGTCCATGATAGAGAATGAGTCAAGACCTTCTCTTGTGTTCAGATACTTAAAGAATGCTATTATATCTCCCCTCATCTTGTCTTCTCAAGGCTAAAATTCCAAATTCCTTCAATTTGTCTTCTGTGGTCTTAGTTTCTAGTCCCCAGATTATCCTTGTTGCTTGAACAGAGAAAGGAAGATGTAGACCAAATGAACTCAAACAGGAACATCATGTACATTTTAATGTAGAATTCATATATTTTTCTTAGGTCTTGAAATCATTTGGCATTCCCTTTTTGTTTTTTGTTTTATTTCCAAGTCTAGTTCCCCATGTTAATTCTGATATTTGATAAAGTAAATTTTAGAGTATATGTATTAATAACATTTTAACTTCATGTAAACAGTGTATGGAATGTAGCAAGCTTGAGGCTTCACAGCAAGTGCAAAATGAACCATGTCATGTATTTATGACTAGACTGAGGAAAAAGGCTTAGCAGTCTTTTCTTGGAACCTCTCACATTAAATACCAGTCTGAATCACATGGTATATGGGGCATGATGTTCTCTAAGGCAAGGTTGCAGAGCATGTGAAATTTGAACTGAATGGGTTATCTGGACAGTAATATTTGGATTTAACAACTATGAGGAAAACAGAAGAATGTGATATAGGTTTACTCTAGAGCTCACTGCACTGATTCTTATTCCTTTTTTTTAATTAAGTAGAACAAACTTTATTCTCTGAAAGCAGAGAAGCAGATAGATGCCCACAGTCAGCTCAGGCCAAAAGCGGAGTGGAATGTAATGGTTTAAGAGGTTGCAGAAGGAAGGGAGGGATGAATCAAACATAACAAGAGGAGAAACATGTTCCAAAGCATGGGTGCAATTAGTAAGAAGGCCTCCCATCTAGTCCATGCCCTTTATGCTTGAACATCTCCACATGTTCATACCAGACTTGATTTTGGCAAGGCAGCGCCTGATGCTTAAAGGACCTGAGAAGAACATTGAATCTGGAGCCCAAGCAGAATCTTAGTGTTCCATCTGATGCTTCTTGCTAGTAATCTATTCCGTTACTGTTACAGTAACTTAAAGGCAGGCAATAAACCAAATGTAGTTTTAGCAAAGTAAATATGTGATTTGTTATCATAGTACTAAACTCCTGCTGCACAAAGTGATCCTTTTTTGTTATAAGTGTATTCATGTGATCACTGTATGTTCTGAATAAAAGTTGACAAATTAAGGCTAGTATTTGAGTTCCTTCATAACATGAAGAAAATGGTTATTGCTGGAATTTGAAATATAGTTATTTTTGAAATGGAGTTGGATCAGATCTACAATAATCTCAGCCCTCTCCCCACCCCCCATAAAAGACTCTCACAAAACTTCTGTGGGAAGGAAAACATTGTTTTAGTTTAATTCTGTCATAACATTTTCAGCCTCTGTAGACTGATGTTAGAACCTGGAACATAATTGCTACTTTTTCATGATCTAAAGCAATTGGTTACATTGTTGAAATTCTCTGAAGGAAACTTTTTTTGTATTTTGAATGACAGATCCTGAAAAGTGTTTGAGACTACTGTGTTTGTTTGTTTTGAGCAGCTACTCTCACCTATGATACTCTCAGGTTTGAGTATGAAGACTTCCCAGAAACCAAAGAGCCTGTTTGGATCCTGGGAAGAAAATACAGTGCTCTAACAGGTATTTCTTCAAATATTTCAAGGGCTATATGATTCAGTACAATGACTTGAATTCTGCTGTCTCTTGATAGCTTTGACATACTGTAGAATGCATGTAGTTTTTCCTGATCTTATTCTGGAACAGCTCTGCCATCCTAATAAACTCCTTGTTTTCTGCTGAACTTTTTATATATTTTTCAGATAGTAGAGGCTAGATAGTGTCCTCCTTCCCTACTGATATATGAGAGAAGTCCAAAAGATATTAAACTGCTTCCCCCCCCCACAAAACCCCACATGCACTACTGTGTGAATATTTTATCTGTCCCTTTCTATTCTTAAGTCTAAATGTTGAATAGGTCTAATTAAAAATAAATATATTTCAGTAACAGTATCATTGAATCCACACAATCTAATTTCTGAAAGTATATTGAAACATTTTATTTCTATTCCTTTAGAGAAAGAGGAGATTTTGTTGGATGTGACTTCTCGTCTTTGGTTCACATATAGAAAAGGCTTTCCAGCCATTGGTAAGCACCAGTTTTCATTTTCCAGATTACTATGGAAATGGTACATATTTATTTCTAAAAATCAGTTTTTTTTACAACCTAATGAAGCCAACTGGAATCTTGGTGTGATGAAACTAGTACCATCACAATCTTGGTTTATCGTATTCCATTTAGCGACTATTAAACCATCCTGACATTTGAGTTTGCGCTCAACTATATATGTTTCAGCAAATAGCATTGGCTTATGGTCTGTTGCTGGCATTTGATTATGTTTCCACTTTATTGAAAATAAGATTCTTCCACTTTGAAAATGGTATGGAAGGATGGAAATTGCAGAAAATAAAAATTCTTTTTTCAAACAGGACTGTATATCATTTAGATCAACTGATTTTTTTGGTATATTTGCGTAAAGATTAAAAAGCAAATGGTAAAAATAAGAAAGCTTCAAATTATTTAAATAAGAATTTTTTATCTGCCTTCATCAAGAAGTTGTGATATTTCTAAAAAGCATTGAGAGCCAGTGATAATTCTAAGAATATTGAACTTTTGGCTTTCTTAAAATTCTCAGGTAGTTGTTGCTCCTGCATATAAATATCGAGGCTGAAAATAATTAAATACATATGTAAAATTCATATGTTTTAAATATCCATATGCCTTAGGATATTCAATCTATATATCTAAAAATTGTCATTTCTAATACTTTAGGACTTAATTATTCATCTGTGAATATTAATGATATCTGTAAACAGATTGTTCATATTATTTTGAAATGGTTAGGAAACTCTAAAATTCTCAGTTCCAGCTATATGTAAGAACTGCAGTACTCAGTTCCCAATGAAAACAACTCTCACTGAAACCAATGCAGGTTCAAAGGGAAGTTCATTTATTGGAAAGTAGTGAACAGTTCTAGAGCATAGCTGGAACTGAGTCCCCCATGTGCCAAAACTTAGTTTTACCTTACTCTCCCTTCACCCCCCTTCTGTCTTTGAATCTCTCTTGCACATGTTGAAGATTCTCTCCAGTTCTCACGTTGGTACGACCTTGGGCATTCCTTAGAGCCAGATAATAGTCCATCTGCACCTTACGGTTAACCTTCCACCCTTCCCTCCCTTCCTCCCCTTCACTGAAATGGCAGAAACGAAGCAAGCAAGCTGGCAGTACAAGTGATTGATTGCAAGGATTCTGACATAATCATATACATATGAATTTACATCTGATAACCATTTTTCTAAAATGTGTATTTATATTTATGTTCTCCTTTCG